TAACTAGAATTTTAAATATATTTTAAATTTGTCTTTATTTTAAATTTTAAATAATCGGAGCAGTATTGCTATTTTATAAAATATTAAAATAAAAATATTAAATAAAAAAATATTTCGTTTAAATCGTAAATGTTACAGCACGCACTTGTCACAGTTCTGGTGTGACTAGTGGTTGTGGTCATGTGATTGTTTCAGCTAGTGTTTGAGGACCCAGCTTATCTGCCCTCAACACTCTTCCACTCTTTTAGTTCTTTGTCTATTATTCACAGATTAGTATGTACGTCTTGATTCTATAGTCTAGAGTGCGTGCTGTCACATTATAATAGACCCTTACGTCTGCGGACTAAGTACATACGCTTTTGATAGGCAGGATATTTACATTAGCCTTATGCTTTGGACCTTATACGCATACGCATACGATATAAGCATACGCATTTGCATTCGATAGACTCGATTACGAACATCGGTCTCACGCTTCGGACTTCTTTTGTATACGATTCATATGAACCATACGATACGACTACCTTCCGATTCCCCTTTACAATGGATGCCCAGACTCTAGAAGCAACGCTAGGTGCTCTGCAAGCTGAAATTGCCTCCTTGAGGAGCCGCCAACTCTCCTCTCGACCTAAACCCGCTCTCCCCGACCCCGAGAAATTCAATAGACATACACACAAGTTCGATACGTGGTTGCCAAGCATCAGGGCTAAGCTACGCGTAGACGGTGACGCAATTGGAGACCCTATTGCCCGCTTTTACTACGTTTACCTCAACCTTGAGAGCCACATACAAGCAATGGTGCTGCTACAGCTAGGTCATGCTGAAGATACACAAGAATGGGACTACAACACGATCCTAGAGCAGCTAGCTCGTGTCTACGACAACCCGAACAAGATTCAAGAAGCAGAAGACAAGCTCTTGGCCGTTAGCCAAGGAAGCGACTCTCTCCCAGCCTATATGGCTAAGTTTAAACGCTTGCTTCATGAAGCAGGTGGACAAGACTAGCCTAAGGCCGCCAAAATCTCTTCTTTCCGCAAAAGGTTAAGTAATAAGCTTCGTTCTAGGCTTTCTCAACAGCTTAATCTCCCTCGTACTTATTCTGGCTTTGTCAGAGTAGTGCAATAACTAGCTGGCGGAGGACGATCCGTTACTTTTACCCCTAACACTAGTTCACCTCATATCGTCTAGCCTCGCTAATTCAATCAATCACCGCGCGGAGATCCTATGGACGTTACTACTATTAACTCTATTAATATTGGTGCTATTGACCTCCCTTCTTCCTTTTCTCCTCGTGAGATCCTAAATCGCAACGGCCCCGAGAGTCCTCAGATTAAGGTCTTAGACTACAACAAGCCCCTAGCCCGCAAAGTGGATCTAGCCGTCCGGATTACCTAAAGAGCTAACAACCGTTGTGTTAGGTGCGGCTCAGCTAATCATTGGGTAGATAACTATGCTTTTGGCCCTGCTATTAAGAACCACAAGAGGCCTAAAGCTAAGGATATAAGGAAGCTATGGGATGGTTGGCAGTCAGCTAACGCTAAGGATTCCGATGATATGGATTAGATGCTGTGTTGGAAGCTCGGTGGACCGTCGCTTTTCGGAAAGGGGGGGTAAT